TTTTGAGGACGCTATTAGGTTATGCGGGGTTCTTGTGACATTTTGGAATGTGGAAAATAATTTATTAACATTCGGTGCAATAAAACTAATAGCCTTAAAAAATATCTGCTCCTTAAAAATAAGTGATGATTCACTTTTTATCATTAGAGCTAAAGAAACTTATTAAAGCGTTTTTCCGTCCTGCTAGCGCTTCTCTTGCGAAGAACATTTTTTGCGACCATATGCGCGATAAGCTGCTGAAGTGCCTGTTGTGCAGTAGTTTCCGGTGAGCCGTTCAGCCTTGACGGGTGCTGGTGATCCAACTCTAATCCCAGTTTGATCCTCCCGTGCGAACCGCGATTCTCCGATCCTTAGAGATTATATTCGCATCGCAACGCCACTTGGCAACGATTTTTGACTTTTATGAATATTTTAACTTTACCGCTTCTCAACGTCTTGCATTGTTATCTGTTTGGCCAGCTGCACTAAATCGTATGTCAATTAATTTTCGTGCATCCTCACCCTTCACGACATTTAAACGTTGTCAGATTGATATCCCTCTGTGGGAAGGACATCATTAAAGCACGCGTATTCGTCTCACTCAACCGTGTGCATAGTAATTCGTTTGTGGACTTTGTTGACATGAAAAGGGTTTGTTTGCCCTAGCGGTCGTTGATTTGTTTGTTCATAAACGAGAGGAAATTCTTCTTGCACAATGTTCATTTCGAAGAGGAATATCTGAGAGGGTAGGTATGTTCTTTTGCCGGGAATGCTAGGGCTAGGAAAATCGCAAATAGGGCGCATTACTCAACTTATGGAATTCAAGAGTCACATAACGGTTAAGTAAACGAAGGTTTTTCGAACCAAGTCTTAAATCCTTCAATAGCATATAATTTTTAATTAGGCTCATCTTAGTCCCGCCTGCGCTAAACGCACTGGGAATCGCGCTCAGCTATCTCTATAGTATATCTTCATTGATTTACTGAGTAGGTGAACCTAATGAATAGTCAAGATTCATTCTGTATTTAGCACTTTGTATTTATGAGTTATGCTCGAAGCAGCGGCTTTTGTGCGCAATGCCCTGACAATTGGGGTCGCAGTGAATAATGGATCACCCTCTGCCTCCGTTATATCTATCTGGGCGAATCCCGGCTCATTCGCCGACTACCGTATGAAGAGATATTGTTTATTCATGTCGTGTTCACTCATTTTTTTCCTGCTAATTTGATATCA